TCACTGTAGTCTCTCATTAGGTGCCTCAAAGAGCATGTACCTTACACAGACATAGTAAGTAATAAAAAGATAAGGTTCCCCGTACTTAAAATTAATCCCATTAAACTAGCACCCTCAAACCTTCAAATAAATGTACATCCAAGCTCAAGACAGTGGATAATATTTAGAAAACAAAATATTAAGTACCACAAATGCCAGTAAAGTTCAACACTGCCTTCTCAAACACCACTCAAAGCAGAGTGCTATCCTAAAACATACTGAAGCTGCTGCTGGATATAGTTATTTGCATCTCTCACCTTTGAGAGTGCTCAGAATGCTAAAATCTTCTCAGTACTGAAGTAGTGGAAAGCACAATTCCACACTTCAAAGGCAGAAGGAATACCCCTGAGTGGACAAAGGTTGTAAACTGGACTTACGAAATTGTTCCCTCTGCAGATACGCTCATATGTTGAAACACAGCATAAGAGATGCAAATCCACAGGACTGTAACTGGCACTGCTCTTAATTCCCAACCCACTGCCAAATTCCAGAGAATTATGTTTCCAAGGGTAAAGAACATCTGACTTCAAGCAGCAAAAAAGCCTTTACCAAGAGTTTCTCTTTGCATATTACAGCAAATGCCTTTATGTGGGTTTTGATCGATACACAATACACTGAGTAGGAAAGATGCCTGGAGTTTTTGTTTCCCCCTTCCTCTTTAAATTAGAGATGTTGTCAGTCCTGAGCATTTTGGTTTTCCCAGTTGAAGTTAGAGATGGTATTGTGAGTGCTAACTTTTTCCTTTGCGAATAACACTCCATTACTTTACATTAGCATATTATAACATTAGACATCAGCCCAAGTGTAATGGGCACAGATCAATAACAAGATCCTACAAAAGCTGCTCTGCTGTTTTTTCCATCTCCCAAATGGAACTGTATCTCCACAGCTTTCTTAAGCTGTTCACATCAAGTTTCTCTCTACAGCTGTCAAGACAGCCAAGTCTTGACAGATGAAAAATTTAGATGCTTTTATTCCTTTACATTAGCCAATGCTTCAGCAGTAAATGGGAGGCTGAAAGCACGCAAGAGTGCTTTGTTGCTTTTATTTCAAGTTTATCCCAATTATCTCTCCATATTGGCACTTTTTTTTTTTACTCCATTAACCTGCCATAGCAGAGTGGCAGACAACTATCCTATTCCAGCCCTTTCAGTAGGAAGAGAGCTGCTACTTTCACCATTCTGCCAGCAGAGCTGTTTATATGAGTACTACCAAAACACATCAAGCAAACATTAGTGGAATTAATGGCAAAGTATGTATTTAAACTGTAACCCTGATGGCTTGGGCCACAAACAGGACAGCAGGCATTCACCTCTCTACCTTGGAAGGAGCAGTTTCCAGCAGAAGTAGGATAAACAGTGTAGGGCAACAGCATCTTCACCCAGAACAGCTGTTTGCTGGATGAATGGCAGTCTATGGCTCTTGCTCTCCATTTAACTATAACACTACTGAGGGCCTTCTGCTATTGCTTACCTCATCTTTGTTATCCCCACTCCCTTCTTTCCTAGTTCGCTCTTCTGCTCTATTCACATTGCAGTGGCATGCCGCCTTCTGCGGAAGTACAATGCTCTGCCACCACAGAATATTGTACAAATTGCTTATGATAGTGCATCACAACAGAAGTGTAAAGTTATGTTTGAAAACACCTAAGTGTTCCCTGCAAAGACAGCAGGAATCCCTGAAAGGTTTACAAGCTAACTGTAGCAGTGTTTTGCAGCAATAGCAATGTACAAATGATTTTAGTGAGACTTAGCTATCCTCTCCAAACAGCAAATGCTATTTAACAGAGTCCAGTTAAAGGAAACAAGAAAAAAAAAAAACTTTTCCAGGTGGACTGATTTACTCTATCTCATTTCAAAGAAAGAAGCAGGACTGCACACCTGAGCCCCTTTCAGCCAGGTGTGAAATACCAAAGGAGAAGGACTCACCAGTGAAGTCTGTCACTAGCCCAGCCCTGGTGAAAAGCTAATCCCCACAGGACAAGAGAATGAGAGGATCCTGATATTGAAGCTTTCTGGACTACAGCTTTCACACCAGGCTCTGGACAGTAGCTGTCTTCTAACTGAAAAAGTTCTCCCCTTTATAGTCTAAGGAGCATTTTCCTCCACTTCACACCAGGGCTCAACAGGTCACACCAGGGCTCAACAGGAAGCTGAACTAAAACCTGAATCCCTCCTTCTGACTCCTTCTCCTCCCCTCCAGCCCCCAGCCTGCTGTCCATGGCAATACCAGGTAGCATTAGGAAACAGGATTCTTTAGTTTCACAGCTGCCCACAGGGTTTTGAAAATAGTAACAGGGACACTGGTGAGTGCAGCTGGTCCTATCTGTCCAGATTCAGTAGATTAATAAGTACTACAATATCTTACAGCAACAGAATAGGAGCTGGAGGACAGTTTTTGCACATATATATGTGCAGCATAAGGCAATGGCTTAAACCTCATACACTTACCAGGGAAACGGTAGCACTGGGAAAGCAATTGTTAACATTGCTTTGCCTCCTTTGTCTGTAAGTTAAGGTTGCCCAACCAGCTTAATTTGCAGCAAAGATTTAGAGGGGATATCTGTAAATAAGTTTCCTCATAACTACAGTCACAGAGAAACACTGCAGTACATTAATTACTTCAGCAGGTTGTTAAATCCCCCTGGCTCAGAGGGGCAAAATATCTGTCTGGAACAATGAGGAACATCTGCACCTATCTCAGCTGTGAAAGACCAGGCTGGATGCCTCTGAAGTCCCTTTAAGCCCTATAACTCTACAGTGACATCACACCAAAAAATGCAAAGCACAGTCTTAAAAAGTGAATATGAAGCAACAAAATCAGACAAACTACTCTTGAAAGAAAATACGTATTTGTAAAAAAACTCTGCAATCCAAGGAACACCACATGATACCCTACAATTCAGAAAGAAGCCCAAGACACCTGAAGATAATTTTCATTGGCCAGCATGTTTAATTACTTCTCACTGAGCAGCCCCAAGTATTTCAGCTCCACAGCACTGTTTTCTCCCCAACAAGCCACACCTGCAGATTAGGGGTTTTTTATTATTATTCAACTGCTGCACAGCCCCAAGGCCCTGGCAAACCAAAGGTTAAGCAACCCAGCCCATGTTATGCAGCAGACAGCAAGATTAGATCATTACAATCCCCAGTGGCCTCCCCCCAGTAGGCATTACCAAACAGTGAGGGTTAGAAACAATTTTCTGAGAAACCACATTCCATAGAAACCCACTAGCTAACCCTCCCAAGACACCAGGAAAGGTTCTCCCATTCATCACTAACGACAAGAAAGGGAATTTTTCAGACTACCTAATTAAAATGGCCGGGACTTACCATAGAGTTTTTCCCGTACGGAGATAATGGGGTTTATTCAGCAGTCACTTCCTGCCTCCCCAGTTAGCGATGACAGAACACCATTCTTAATGAAGCGCTCCGAGCACGCATAGCACCGGCCGTCCCCTCACCGAGGCCCCAGCCCGGGAGAGTCCGAAGGCCGGGGAGCCCAAGCCCCACACAGGAGCTTCACTCGCCCCCGCGGGGAGCACCCTTGCCCCCGCCGGGACCGAGACCACGGGACTCTCTCCTCTCGCCCCCCGCTCAGGCCCGGCCTGACACCCCCGCACTGACGGGCCCGCTCCAGGCGAGGCCTGCCCCGGCTCCCAGTGAGCCCCGTACCCCACGGCCCGGCGCAGGCCGGCAGG